GCCCCAGGGCTTAGTGACTCATGCTTCTGGCATCCCAGAGTGGGATGAACTTGGTCTAGACTGATGTGCAGTTTTCTTCCACTCTCTGCTTGGGGAATTCCGGTGTGCTCCTGAGAAGGGACGCGCCCGTGAGGGTCATCTCTAGAGTTCTGCGATCTGTCCCTAGTCTCCAGAGGTCAATGGGGACGGATGTTATGGAGCCTGCAACGGCCCTGCAGAGTAGGGGTGGGAAGAGATGGGGTGTCTGCATCACGTTCATGAGTCCAGTCATTTACACGTGGGGTCCCAAGACATGGAGAAAGCATCACCTGTCACTTCGCTTTGACCATACTCTCCTCTTGGCCACTTTTAAGTATATGGGCCCTGAACTGGGGAAGTCGAGGGAGGACTTTAGCCCTCACAGTCTGAGGTGGAACAGCGGGAGTGAAAAGTCTGCTCCTGCTTTCAAAGCCAAGGTTGTGAGGGGCCAGAGAAGAGGGAGGGAGAGAGCTGAGCACACAGTACACACGCACACTAGCTGGCATCCCTTGTGTGTGTGTGTGTGTGTGTGTGTGTGTGTGTGTGTGTGTGAGAGAGAGAGAGAGAGAGAGAGAGACAGACAGACAGACAGACAGACAGACACCAGTTCACACAATGACAGACACTGCCAACAGCCAGCTGTGGGTGCCCCCTGCGTGGACCGGGCGCATTTTCATAAATACAGAGTAACAAGGAATCTTAGAACTTGGCAATCACCTCTTCCTGCTTCCTTCCCAGTGCAGGAATCCGGCTGCAATTTTCCTGACTGGAGGCCATCCTGTTCCTGCTTGAACTACTCCAGTGACAAGGAGCTCACCACTCATAGGGCCTCACTGTAAAAGGTCATCCACTGCAAAGGGACAGCCCTCAGTGTTACAGAGTTCGCACGCTGAGCTGAAATCTACATCCCATTACCTTCCTATCCATCTTATTTCCGGGAGTCAAAACAAATCATACACATCGTCTCCACGGTAGCGCTTCAAATATTTGAAGAGAACAGACGTGTCTCCACCCATATGTCCTTTTTTTGATACGAAATCTTCATTTCCTCACATGATATAGTGTCCAGACCTGTCCCTGTCCTGCTGGTCCCTCTTCTGGGTGACCTAGTTAAGAGACGGCCCCAGAATTGAACCCTGCACTCAGTTCTAGGTCCAAAAAAGCAAAGGGTTGAGAAAAATAACTCTTCTATCAGTGCATTAGTTTATATTCGCTTTTTTTTTTTAGCAGCGTATCATACCTTTGGTTTATACTGAGCTTTTAGTCAACCAAACCCCTTCAGGGGTTTTTAAAAATTATAATCAATACTTTCAGTTACTCTCTCTGACTTTTACTCTGTAGCTGACTTTTTTCCCCCCCATGAACCTTGATATAAGACCTTATATTTGTCCTTAATGTCATCGTTTGGGCCTATTATTTCAACCCACTGAGGGTTTTCTGAATCCCATCCCATATCGTTACGTTCCAGCAATCCCACCTTGTTTGGCGTCTCCTATGAATTTGATCAGCACTCGCTTTTAGCGCCATGCAAATATCTGATACATGATGGAGAGGCGGGAGTGGAGCCCAGGGAGACACCATAGAGCCCACCTACTGTGTTCACTCCGACCACTCAGCAGCTCTCCTGGGTACCGTTAGTACACCGTGACGGCCCATCCACCAAACCTACATCTCGTCCTCTTGTCGAGAAGAAGGGACCCAGAAGAGGGACCAGCAGGAGGGAGACAGGTCTGGACACTATATCATATGAGGAAATGAAGATTTCGTATCAAAAAAAGGACATATGGGTGGAGACACGTCTGTTCTCTTCAAATATTTGAAGCGCTACCGTGGAGATGTGTATGATTTGTTTTGACTCCCAGAATTAAGATGGATAGGAAGGTAATGGGATGTAGATTTCAGCTCAGTGTGAAAACTGTAACACTGAGGGCTGTCCCTTTGCAGTGGATGACCTTTTACAGTGAGGCCCTATGAGTGGTGAGCTCCTTGTCACTGGAGTAGTTCAGCCAAGAGGAGTGATTCCATGACTTCAGCTACTGACACAGGCTATTACATGAGTATTTCAGAAAAACTTCTCAGCATCCCACAAAAATCTGCTGTAGGTGGTCTGGGTGGCTCCCTGCCCCTTGGGTTGGCTCTGCCAGTAAGCATGGGCTTTAGCCATGAAGTCCTGGATAGAAGAATCCTGACAATTCTCAGACTTCCCCAGACATCCTGCCATCTGGGCCCTTTCATGACCAAAGGGAAGAGGTTACAGGGGGACTGCTCACCAGTTGAAAGTTTCCTCAGTGTCTGTGACTGGATGAGAAAGCCCCCAGTTTGGCTACCAGCAACTAGTCTGATTTGTATAATGGTAAGAGGGAGGCCTTCTAGGAAATTGCAGAGTATAGAAGGTTGTGGAAGTCACCCAGCCCTTCATTCCAGATGTCTCCCCAGGCAGTCCCCTTTGGGTTACTGTAAATTCATTTAGGATCTAGGCTCCTTGCCTTGGAATGACCTTCTAGCTCTTCTCAAGGCACAAATCTTGTCGTCTCAGGTTATAAGGGCTGGGGACAAAGGCCATG